ATTTTCTCGTTATATCGACATAACGAGAGTTGTTTTCTCATTATAACGACTTCATTTTCTCGTTATATCGACATAACGAGAGTTGTTTTCTCATTATAACGACTTAATTTTCTTCTGGTCTCGACATAAAAAAAGTTGTTCTCTAAAGTTACAAAACTGCGCCAACAGGTGGCACTATTGACCTGAATATAACTGATGGGGTGTTGTAGGCTATACTGTATGTCCACTTTACTGTACGCGTTTGGAATAGAATAGGACCTTCCTCGTGATCGCTATAATTTGTACACAGTCGTTATAACGAGAAAACAACTTTCGTTATGTCGAGATAACGAGACAATTAAGTCGTTATAACAAGAAAACAACTTTCGTTATATCGAGATAACTAGAAAATTAAGTCGTTATAACGATAAAACAACTCGCTATGTCAATATCACGAGAAAACGAGAAGAAAAAAAAAAGTAAGTAAAAGTGAGTAAAACGCAGCCTAATTTTCATTTTTGGGTGAACTAACCCTTTAATGATTGCGGTCAAACACATATTTTTGCTAAATTGTTGGCCAAAATACAAATTGAAGACACATATTTATTTTTTATAACCTAAATATAACAATGAAATAGAGTAACTATTTCCAAAACAGCTCACAGGTACTTAAAATCAAAATAATAAAAGAAACTGTCAACCTCCAACACAACAGTATTGCATCAAGTCATTTTGCAGTAACACAACAAAACCTGCATATAAACCAGACAGGATTACAGTTTACTTAATAGACATACAAAACTGTGGTAGTACCACGGTACAGTGATGTTTGAGACGTTAACGCCGTTTTTTAAAAACATTATTACTTATGTTACTTCTCATAATACCATGGTACTTTTACGATATTGCGCAAGCTAACGTTACGTACTATATAGTAATAATACAACGCGCGGTGCTCAGTCTGATGCGATTTCCACGTTTCTTCTGCAGTTACTGTCAGTCAATTAAACTATAAATGATCTGAGCTGAAATCAGTCGAAAAGAGGTAAAGCTAACAGTCACTAAACTACATATGAATACAGTTTTGCATTAACTCAGTTGTCTGCACTGTCCTGCATCCCATGCCTTTTAAAATCCCCGAGATATTATTTATTATCTTTGTGTACGTTAGTGCAAGGAGATTAAACTGATGCACGTTTCCATGACATTAACTTTAGCCGAGCGGCTAACGATTTAGCATTAGCAACAGTTCATGTATAAAGCACCTGCCAGTTTTACTTGGATTAACTTGACATATGTAGACAACAAATAGAACACATCCGGCTAAAAATACGCATTTCATCCCCTCAATGTGGTGACTAGCTATAACTCACACATCTAGCGTTATCTAGGAAGCGCTTTGACTGCATGTTACTGGTCCAGCTAACAGAAATAGTGAGCACTAAGGGCCTGCCATGCTTCTAAAATGAACGAATTCAGTAATACATATGCACACCGACCAAAATAAAAGCACTCAAATCATCGCTTACCCTAAAGACAGGTTCTGCCCTTCCTCTCTGCGGGCTTGTTTTAACGATGAATCGGCTCCTGTTGAGTTCCAGCAGTCTGGTGGCTGCAAGTCTCTACTGTTCTGCCTGCATCATGTCAGCTACTGTAAGCCTCTCTCTTCTTCTTCTTCATCTTCTTCTTCTTCTTCTTTGGAATTCTTTGGCGTATTCCGCGCCATAGGCACATACCGCCACCAACTGTTTCTAATCATACATGGAGGATAGTCCCGCCTCTATTCATATTTTATTTATTTATTTTGTAATTGTTAATTTTATTTCGGGCTCACCCAAGCTGTATTTCTGGCTGCTGCGTGTTCAGCTCCCATGCCAAAAAAACCCCCCAGCTTGTGTGTTCCCCTATTCCTTTGCTTTATTTATTTATTTAACTATCAAATTAGTTTATTTAATCCTGTTTCTACTATCCATTACAATTCTTTGATTACTACCTTCTCTTAATCCTTTTCCTAATATCCAGTTTATCTTCTTTTTTTCTTTATTATTACCATTTAAGTTCTTTATCATTTTAATTCTCTCTATATTATATTTCCGACATTTTAATATTACATGTTCAACGGTTTCTATTACCCCACAAAAAGCACATTTACCTGTAATATGTTTACCTATTTTGTATAGTGGTGCATTTAGTCCTGTGTGCCCAAATTGTAATCGATTTAAAATCACCTCATCTTTCCTACGTCTTCCAAAATTGTATACTTCTTTAACTGATGAATTAATTTTATAATAAAACCTTGTAAGCCTCTCTCCAACATGACCCCCTCAACCTCAACGTCCTGCGAAACAAAGCTGCAAACTGTCAAACTACGACCTCTATGGGCCATAACAGGAAATGTTAAAGCTCTAATACGCTACTAATAGAGGCACTGCGAACTCTACTGGCCACAAGAAGAAACGAATTAGAGTGTGGCGTGAAGACAATAATTTCTTCTTAAATGGAATTATCTAATTTGTTAAAGGATAGTGATTTCTTTGCATTATATGAACCCAATGTATTATAATGTAAGGAAAATTCTTAGTTGTCATTATTTGCTGGCAGGTGAATTTAAACACAGTAGTCCTTCAGAAGCACTGATGTGTCGGGCATTGGTTGATTGCTTTAGTTCAATGTATTTTAAAGAGAGGATAGCACGCTTTTGTTCGTTACAGTGAACTGTTGCGTATAAGTAAGCTTATCATTGTTTTTTATATCTTCTAAAACGACATTGTTCAACCTCTGCATTACCAGTCCCTGGTGGTCTAGTGGTTAGGATTCGGCGCTCTCACCGCCGCGGCCCGGGTTCGATTCCCGGTCAGGGAATGAGATTTTTTTTAATGAAAGTATGTTTTCAAACATGATAGTTTTATAAACGTGAAATCTACCGGTTACCTACAGAAATCGGTTTGGAAAATGCCTGTTTTAAAGCTAGGGGGTAGAGACCTGCACCCCTGCGGGGTCCCGCGTGTGCGGGCGGAAAGAGACTGGTGTGTGTGTGCAGGATGCGGGAGAATAAAATGATTCGCGGGACTCCCGCAAAATAGAAATGATCTAAACATAAAGTGCCTAAAACATATACATTGTTATTTATCTGTTGCAAAAAGAACAACTAATATTAACATTAAAATGATGGACATGCGAAAGCTAGGCAGTTTCTATTTATAACACGTTTAAAGGGTTGCGCAATGTAGCCAATCACAGACATGGCTGTTGATTTCTGGAACGCAATGGCCAATCAGAGGGGATTAAGTTAGAATCTACTCATCGCAGTGCTGAAATTGCGTGTTTACGAATCATCTCATTTTAACACATGAAGTGTAGACATTGTGAAAGATTCATTGTGCATACATTTATTGTGTTATAACCATAGACTGTATAAAAATGGTTATAACAGAGCTTTATGAGATCGCGATTAACCGAGATGTCAGCTTTTAGTGATGATAAATGAAGCGCTGCTGGCAGTCTGCCATGCCAAAGCATGCACGCAGCAGCCCATGCTTGCTTTTCTGTTAAAAATAGTGGTTGGTGAATGTTGATGCTTAGCCTAAATAACAAATATTTTATCGGGAGTGTTTATGCTGGGATGTTGTGGAGCTCAGGAGATGTTATAGAACCATTTCATGTAAATTTCTGCGATGTAGAAAAACAAGCAACTTTGTCGAAGTGTAGACATTGAGGAAGATTCATTGTGCATACATTTATTGTGTTTTAACAGAGCTTTATGAGATCGCGATTAACCGAGATGTCAGCTTTTAGTGATGATAAATGAAGCGCTGCTGGCAGTCTGCCATGCCAAAGCATGCACGCAGCAGCCCATGCTTGCTTTTCTGTTAAAAATAGTGGTTGGTGAATGTTGATGCTTAGCCTAAATAACAAATATTTTATCGGGAGTGTTTATGCTGGGATGTTGTGGAGCTCAGGAGATGTTATAGAACCATTTCATGTAAATTTCTGCGATGTAGAAAAACAAGCAACTTTGTATTAAAAATATTGGAGGAATTTTGGAAAATAGGCTTTTCATCTGTTAGACAAATGGTGGGTTTCTATTCAAAAAGGTTTAGAACTGCTCCACAGATTAACATTAAAACTGTTTAAACTGTAACAATTGAAACCTTAGTCTTAAGAAACCAGTTATTTCCTATGAAAAATCAATTTATTCAAAATAAACACACATCTTTGTTTTTGTTTTGTTTTTGTGACACATTATAACTGCGCAATATGACTGATGAAAACTGATATACTGGTTACTGAGGTCAGTGTATACAACAGATCAACCTTAACCCATGTCTTATCAGAGAACCTAATCTAACACTGACCTGCAGGTATGAGTAACATCTCAAATTAAGAGATACATTTGTTCCTTATGACTTGCATTAAAAATATAAGAAAGAAAAATGCACATATAAAGTATATTTACAATGATAGATTTTCTCAGTTTAAACATTTGCTATGTCATCTATGTTGTATTCTGAATAAAATATTGAAATTTGAAACGTCCACATCATTGCATTCTGTTTTTATTCACAATTTGTACAGTGTCCCAACTTTTTTGGAATCGGGTTTGTAGAAACGAGAGCAAAACAAAGATAAAAAAAATCAATGTTTTTTTTTTTGCTCTTTACAAATTAGAATTCCTTTAAGCACAACACTGAAATGGAAGCTGACACTGCCAAATATTTTATGTTGAAATACAATAACAAACCAAACAATTAATTTCTAAAGTTTCTTTTTTGCATTCAGCATTTAGGACCTAAGAAATGAAACTCAGCACTAATAACAGGTGAGACCAACCGAACAATGAAATCTTCCTAAGTATTGCATACAGTATCATGGCAACATGCCAACGGTAATGCAGCTGCAGGCCATGGCAACTTGTGGACTTACTGACACAGCCAAGACATTCAAATGTGACTGTCAAAATGCAATATAGTGACTATGTATGGCTATGTGCCATTAAAAATAAGGACGAAAAGGGTCACTTTAAAAATGTGGCATGTTTCAACAACCAAAACCACCCACATCATTCATTGTCAAACGTGAAAATGTAAACTTTAAAAAATACTTTTTTTAAAATACAAAAAAGCAGAATTTGCTGGAAAGTTGAGAAACCTTATATAAAATAAAAATAAAAACTACACAATAATGAACAGTGTAATGAAAATCGAGTTTTCTACACAATCTTCATCCTCGCTGTCCTTTTAAATAAGGCATTTTCTTCACTTCAGGATATCAACTGAAAAACAAGAAAATTACTCATTATAAAAGCAGCAAACTGACAAAATCGATTATAAAATATTGGTTTAGTATTTTGGAGGTACTTACACCTTTAACTGTCTCCCGGATGAATTCCTTTCTGCTGGTCAGATCAAAGTCAGGATACTTGCCATAAACCTAAAACAAAGAGGAAGTTCATAAATAATAAGTATTTGGAAACATTTCAGGATGACAAACATTAGTGGAACATATCTATATCTATTGTGATGAACTACACCTGTGCTAGGACTCCTGCATGAACTTAAGAGGAACTGATTTCATGCATTAAAAATCACTGGACTTCAGTTGGTTACATACAATTGCAAAATGGATCAGAAAAGTGAATATGCATCTAAAGTGAAACACCTCATTTGTTTGAAGACACCATTCAGTTTGATATTTTGTTAATGCAATGACATTCATACATTTAAAGTGTCGAAAGAGCCACTGTAACCACTCAAAAAGCCATTTTGTCCTCATAAAAGCTTTGAAATAACATACTTTTCGGGTAATCTGCTTCATCGTAACTTCCTCCAATTTGGCATCTTTCAAGAGATCCTTGATTGCCTCCTTTAACTGTTCTTCAGTTGGTGGTTTTTTAACCATCTTGATCAGTGGCTGATCATCATCAGAGCTTTCACTTTCATCTGGAAGAAAAATACAGCATTTCAAACTCATTGCAAAACAGTGTACGGTTTCAGTTTTGAGTAGGGATGGGTCACGATTGTCGAATATTCGATTAGATGATTTAATTAATGAATATAGAATAGGTTGTGCGATTATTGTCTTAAAAAATGTCCCCATGTTTTCCGTGCTGATGCGGTGGTGAGGAGGTATAACGCACCTAAAAGCGGTCAAAGATAACAGAAGAACACATTGTCTCACACGCACACTGTAGACTTGCGTGGCATAAAAAAAGACTTGCGTAGCATATAATGGTTACAGCAACTTGGGACAATGTCAAATAATAGTTTTGTGCAGACCACAAACACCCCCGACTGGGATAGAGGTGTGGCTGAATTCGTATTCAGAAAGGCGCGGAAAACAAATAACACGTTCTACGGAGCCTCTAAAGGGACATGGTTAACCGCTTGCTAGCTGTAGCCTGTCACATTACAGTACATAACATTTCACTTTCCACATAAACGGAATAAGGACAGATGACTAATAGGATAATGGCGAATGATTTGCAGATCCTGAGCACCACTGACAAGCATCTAATCTTGTAAAATGTGTGGTAATACTGCTCAGTGCTGCTCCGTATTTGATCGCAAAACTCGAAAGTGAAAGTAAAAAACAAGCGCGTTCATAAGGCATTTCAATTCAATTAATAACGGCTCCCTGATGCCCGCAGTTTATATACAGTATAATTACCCAATGATATAATTGCGACAGAAGATATTGAAGTATATTTCTCCTCCCATCTCGTATCTATTCCCTTTAGGGATTCAGTTTTTTAAAATGGAAATGTCCTAGCCTTATGAGCAGCTGATTTATGCTAATCGTTTCTTTTTTGCATTCAGCATTTAGGACCTAAGAAATGAAACTCAGCACTAATAACAGGTGAGACCAACCGAACAATGAAATCTTCCTAAGTATTGCATACAGTATCATGGCAACATGCCAACGGTAATGCAGCTGCAGGCCATGGCAACTTGTGGACTTACTGACACAGCCAAGACATTCAAATGTGACTGTCAAAATGCAATATAGTGACTATGTATGGCTATGTGCCATTAAAAATAAGGACGAAAAGGGTCACTTTAAAAATGTGGCATGTTTCAACAACCAAAACCACCCACATCATTCATTGTCAAACGTGAAAATGTAAACTTTAAAAAATACTTTTTTTAAAATACAAAAAAGCAGAATTTGCTGGAAAGTTGAGAAACCTTATATAAAATAAAAATAAAAACTACACAATAATGAACAGTGTAATGAAAATCGAGTTTTCTACACAATCTTCATCCTCGCTGTCCTTTTAAATAAGGCATTTTCTTCACTTCAGGATATCAACTGAAAAACAAGAAAATTACTCATTATAAAAGCAGCAAACTGACAAAATCGATTATAAAATATTGGTTTAGTATTTTGGAGGTACTTACACCTTTAACTGTCTCCCGGATGAATTCCTTTCTGCTGGTCAGATCAAAGTCAGGATACTTGCCATAAACCTAAAACAAAGAGGAAGTTCATAAATAATAAGTATTTGGAAACATTTCAGGATGACAAACATTAGTGGAACATATCTATATCTATTGTGATGAACTACACCTGTGCTAGGACTCCTGCATGAACTTAAGAGGAACTGATTTCATGCATTAAAAATCACTGGACTTCAGTTGGTTACATACAATTGCAAAATGGATCAGAAAAGTGAATATGCATCTAAAGTGAAACACCTCATTTGTTTGAAGACACCATTCAGTTTGATATTTTGTTAATGCAATGACATTCATACATTTAAAGTGTCGAAAGAGCCACTGTAACCACTCAAAAAGCCATTTTGTCCTCATAAAAGCTTTGAAATAACATACTTTTCGGGTAATCTGCTTCATCGTAACTTCCTCCAATTTGGCATCTTTCAAGAGATCCTTGATTGCCTCCTTTAACTGTTCTTCAGTTGGTGGTTTTTTAACCATCTTGATCAGTGGCTGATCATCATCAGAGCTTTCACTTTCATCTGGAAGAAAAATACAGCATTTCAAACTCATTGCAAAACAGTGTACGGTTTCAGTTTTGAGTAGGGATGGGTCACGATTGTCGAATATTCGATTAGATGATTTAATTAATGAATATAGAATAGGTTGTGCGATTATTGTCTTAAAAAATGTCCCCATGTTTTCCGTGCTGATGCGGTGGTGAGGAGGTATAACGCACCTAAAAGCGGTCAAAGATAACAGAAGAACACATTGTCTCACACGCACACTGTAGACTTGCGTGGCATAAAAAAAGACTTGCGTAGCATATAATGGTTACAGCAACTTGGGACAATGTCAAATAATAGTTTTGTGCAGACCACAAACACCCCCGACTGGGATAGAGGTGTGGCTGAATTCGTATTCAGAAAGGCGCGGAAAACAAATAACACGTTCTACGGAGCCTCTAAAGGGACATGGTTAACCGCTTGCTAGCTGTAGCCTGTCACATTACAGTACATAACATTTCACTTTCCACATAAACGGAATAAGGACAGATGACTAATAGGATAATGGCGAATGATTTGCAGATCCTGAGCACCACTGACAAGCATCTAATCTTGTAAAATGTGTGGTAATACTGCTCAGTGCTGCTCCGTATTTGATCGCAAAACTCGAAAGTGAAAGTAAAAAACAAGCGCGTTCATAAGGCATTTCAATTCAATTAATAACGGCTCCCTGATGCCCGCAGTTTATATACAGTATAATTACCCAATGATATAATTGCGACAGAAGATATTGAAGTATATTTCTCCTCCCATCTCGTATCTATTCCCTTTAGGGATTCAGTTTTTTAAAATGGAAATGTCCTAGCCTTATGAGCAGCTGATTTATGCTAATCGACGGACTGTTATGTTAATAAGTGCCGTCATTCAGTTATGTTTATTATATTACTGTTTCAGCACGTTACAATCATTATATGGCTTAAGTTAAGGCAGCCTATCTTCTGAATTTTAACAGTTTATCATACAGATTGAAAGAGTGAATCCCGTCTCTCTATGTTTAGTGTTTATGGGTGTTTGTGCATGCTTGCGGGGGAGGGGTGCGATTTTCGAATAGTAATCGAATAATACCCAGCGATTTTCGAATATTATTTTGGCTAGAATGCCCATCCCTAGTTTTGAGATGATGCAAAACTATTTTATGTCCTGTTTTTCTAGGCAAAAAAGAAAATTTTTAGATTTCAACTTCTGGTCTTGCATCTCGAAGCATTTGCTGCATTATTACCCTTGCTCTTGCTTGCTTTCTTTTTCCCTCGGTTGCTGCTGCTGTCAGCTTTCTTGGTTTTTGGGACAGGCTTTGCTGGAGCTTTCCTGTTTGCTGCAGGTTTCTTTTTTGTCTAGGAAAATAGTTTCATAGAAGTGCACGGTCACAAGAGCAGTCAAGAAAATCAGATGGAAAAACTGAACACATTTCTGGGGCATCTGTAAATCTAAAGTGCTACAAATGTTGTACTTGTTCTTATGGTGTCATAAATAATTTTTTGTTAATTCTTTTTCTGCAGTTTTCATTTTCTAATTATTCATTTTCAGCCATTTTTAATGCCTGACTTAATCAGCAGACCAAAACAACAAGCTCAAATAAGCTTGAATTTATTTGAATTACATGACAAATTTTCAGAATTCAAAAATATTACTAGTAAGTGTTTTTGTCGAACCTTTTTTGCATTTTTGTTTTCATGAACGTCTTGGTCACTTTCATCTGATGCAGTCTGTTCTGACTTTTCAGATTTCTTTGTAGACTTTGTGGTTAAAGATTTCTTCTGAGGAGGAGGAGAATTCTGTTGATTTGCGGACACAATACAAGAAATTTACAAATAGTAAGATTGTCAATATATTGCCTGAACTGTACAACCATAAATGTGGAGAATGTATATTAAAATCTTTGACGCATTTAGAAAAAAAAACCTTTTCACTCACTTCTTCCTCCTTGCTGTCATCTTCAAGAGCATCATCATCATCATCTTCCTCTTTATCAGAAGATTTATCACCACTGTCTTTATTTTCTTGATTTGCTGTTGCGGACTTCACAGTGTCCTTACTGTTCTCTTTACCCTCTTCATCATCATCATCATCATCATCACTACTGGAATCAGTGACAATGGGTTTGGACTTCCCGCTTTCTACTTTTTTCTGTGTCCTTTTACTTTTGGATGAAGACTTTTCTCTTTTGGCATCCTTGGTCATCTTCTTTTTCTTCTTTAGGACAGGCTGCAGACAGTAAAAGTCATTGGCAAACAGCAAAAGACAAACTCATGAGACATTTTATCCAAAATATCCAGAAGTACATTGGCTGTAAAGTGACATAAAAAGTTGCTTTGTTATTGTTCAGACCAAAAAAAACAAAACTCACCTTTCCTGAGTTGGTTGGACGTGCAAGAAATTTCATGATCCTCTCTGAAAGAACAATTTGTGTTCCAGACCTCTCCAGATCAAGAGTCTGACAAATGGTTCTGAGTTGTTCCTTGTGAAGCCTGCCAGACAGAAAAACCTCATTATCACACACACTTTAAACCAATGACAACTAGAAAAATATTTGACCTGATAAATTATTATCCGGGGACCTCTTGCGGAGTTGACACAGAATAAACCACAGGACAAAAATTGGTCTGTCAATGATACCTAGCAGAGCACACATAATTTGTGCCTTCATCCCTTTAAAGTGAAAAGTGACGTGACGTGTGGCCAAGTATGGTTACCCATACTAGGAATTAGTAATCTGCGTTTAACCCATCCTAAGTGCACACACACAGCAGTGAGCACACACACAGCAGTGAGCACACACCCGGAGCAGTGGGCAGCCATTTATGCTGCGGCGCCCGGGGAGCAGTTGGGGGTTCGGTGCCTTGCTCAAGGGCACCTCCGTCGTGGTATTGAAGGTGGACGAGAGCACTGTACATTCACTCCCCCCACCTACAATCCCTGCCGGACTTGAGACTCGAACTCGCAACCTTTTGGGTTACGAGTCCGACTCTCTAACCATTAGGCCACAAAATAATATTATCTACCATTGATGTGCAAATATATTAAAGAAAAAAAACATCAAACCAGTTAAATGGGCTACCTTTTCACCTTCTCCATTTTCTTGCTGTAAAGGTCATTGTCCTCTCCAAAAGGAAATCCATTAAACAGCCGAAGATTTTTACGCAGTGTTGACGCCTGTATGAACATCAAGCAGCATTATTCAGTTACGAACTGTAATCTAACAATAATCTGTAGTAACATATGCTTTTGGCCATTTATGTGTTAAATGAGTTCTAAAACAAAACCTTACAGTTCCCGGGCGATCATATACAATCTTATGCAGAGGCTTGAGCAGAGGCGCTTTAAGCTTTCCGATGGAGTGATTAATCCGTGCAATGTCTCCCAGTTTGGCACCGCTTCCTGTGCTCTCAATCTTTGGCTTTTCCTTCGGTTTACTCATCAAATCAAGTCTCTGGATGATTTTTTTCTCCCGTTTTCCTTCAAGAATTTCAGGTTCGACTGCAAAGACAATTAAAACAACATTACAAAAAGACAAAAACTGTAACTTTTGAGGGTGGAATCAGGTGTGATTTCATTTATGAGCTTAAGAAAATGACACAAAAACTCAATACAAAGTAATGATACTGTAAGTATAATGATACTTCTTATCAAAATAACATTTCTTGAAGTTAAAGCTTTGGCATCAATTGTTGACGTGAATTAACTTACACAATTTGGGTTTAGACCTGCTTTTAGGTTTAGGGCTTTCTGATTCATCCTGCTCTGTATCATCAGATGGACTCTTCTTCTTTCTCTTCTTCTTCTTCTCCTCCTCTTCTTCTATGACTGAATTTTCATCCAAAGAAACATCCTCTGGCTTGAAAGCTTCCATTTTTTCACTCATGATCTCAGTTGCACCCTAAATGGATAAAAAGACACGTCGCGGTGCTATAATCGTCGAATTCAACAGAATACTATTAGTAGACGTGTTGTTACTAATATAATAGCCATACACAACAGCTCCATTCATCGCCTCTAATCACATTATCAATATTGCGCTCTTGCTGCAGAACGAATTTGGCGCGTGTTTGTGTCTCAGTTGTATAAACCCCACGCAGATACAAACCTTCTGCGTGCTAACAGGCTAGGAAAGTACGATCAAGGTGAGGTAAACTATGTGAAAACGTAAATTACACAATCAAACGTGAGAGAAAAATAAACTTTTACTCATACATAAGCTGGCGACCCAAAGCTTTTTTTTTAGGCGGCGCGAGACTGATAGCGCAGCAGAATAGCATATTCGTCCCGCCTACTTGCTCACAAAAACACAATTAAATGTCCTTTTGCAACAAATCGTGGCAAGTCCTGCCTTCGTGTACGTAGACATCAAATTGAGAGAAACTGTTACAGACTGTAAAACCTCAATAAACCTCATGGGCTCATACTTTAATACATATACTCACTGTGCGTTAGTGTTGCTGCCAATTGGTCGCGATGGAGGTGCGCAGAAAACATGGCGTTTGAAAAGAGAGGGCGGGCTATCACGTGACCACGCGGACACAAAAACCTATTAAAAGTACAGGCCCCCCAAAAATACAGTTTTCTCATTTAGCCTACTCACCCCCGTGTTGTTTCGAACAGTGTTGGGCAGTAACTAGTTACTAGTGATAATAGTACTTTTTGCACTAACTAGTAGTGTAACTAATTATTACTAAGATTACAGTAATAATATTACAGTTAGCATCCATAAAACAGCTCGTTACGTAGTTACATTTGATGCCTTAACCCCTGCTGATTTGAAATCCAACAATCCAATAATTCATAGATTTAATTTCATATTTCCACGACTAGCACAGGCACATGAAGTCACCAGTGCATCAGGAAAGCTAGAAATATGGAAAAGTTTACATTCAGGGGATGGAAATTGCCATTACACTGATTTAGTCAGGAGAAAATGTGATCTGAACACAAGATGTGTAAGTTGTGGCATTACTTTACTCTGGCATTACATGGCATTACAAACACTCAGTGGTGATTGATAGTGGCTTTTAAGTAAAAGTGTTGTATTAATTGTCATGTGTAGCTTGAAGCTAATTGTAGCTGTAATTTCTCTTCTGTTACCCATATGATTATATTTCATATTTTCACAAGTATTTTATCAAAAGAAACACATAAATTCATAAGATTTTTAATTAGGCTATAGTAATATAATTTATATCGGGAGCAGAGGGATGTGGGTGGGCAAGCCATGAAATGCCAGAGTAATGCCACAACTACAAAATCAGTGTAATGGCAATATTTCCAACACCCGTAAGCATTTCCATATTTCCAGCTTTCCTGATGCACTGGTGACTTCATGTGCCTGTGCGAGTTGTGAAAATTATGAAAATAAATCTAGGAATTATTGGATTGTTGGATTTCAAATCAGGGGTTGGGGCATCAAATGTAACAAAGTAACGAGCTGTTTTATGGATGGTAACTGTAATATTATTACTGAAATCTTATTAGTAGTTAGACTACTAGTACCTGCAAAAAGTCATATTATTAGGCTACTGTAACTAGCTACTGCCCAACACTGGTGATAAGTAAAGTAATAATATTACTTTTGACAGGAGTAGCCTAACTAACGAGTGATAAGTTACATTTGTGGAGTAACAAGCCCAACACTGGTTTCGAATTAGTAAGACTTTATTTCTGCTGTGGAGATGTTAGGATTTCAGAATTACAACCTCACTATTGTCAACATTCACTTTCGTTGTATGGACAAAAGGTTATAATGAATAGTGACTGTTGCCTGTCAATAACATTCTCCAAGGAACAACAATCTTCAAATATATGGAACATGAGGGTCGGTAAATTGTTCCTTTGGGTGTGTGGCATCAAAAACATAGGTCTAATGTGAATAAAACTGCCTACATCCTTAATTCAGCATGGTCCACTTACATTTGCCAGTCGGAATTCATTACAGTAGCCTATTATGTTTTCATAATAATTGTATATTTTTAAATGTAACAAAATTCTGCTTGTTTTTTGCTGAAAGTGTGATCGTGCTATCGTTCTTTTTAAAAATGATATCCAAATTTTACTTTAGTGAATTTTATTCCATGTCTAGATGCAATTTGATATTTTTGTTTGTCTCTTCTAATGCAATGCCATGTGGCATTCATATTTGGCCTATATTTAATTTAGAACATCAAAAACCGTTAGCCTAATACGCAATGTGCCGAAATTGAAATACATAAAAGTTTCATAAAATATATGTATTTTATTTAATGATGTTCTCTCAGCTGAATATTTCCAGTTCTTCAGTTGGTTGAAGTAGCAATACTTTTACCAACAGCAGGGGGCAACATGCTACTATATATATATATACATATACACACACACACACACACACACACACAAAGTATATATAAAATTAGAAAGCTAGTGTTTTTTTTATAAAAAAGAAGATAAATAGATAAAGTAGAATTAAAATAGAATAGAAAGTGCTAGAGTTAGAGGGTCAAATAAAGATGGAACAGGTGTGTTTTTAGTCGTTTTTTGAAGATGGTTAAGGTATATCAATACCTCACTACATCAGGTGTACATTATGCATCTTCTCATATTTTTCACACAATCACACTGCAAGTTAAATTCAGCAAGTGGTTATCATCATAAAAGCAGTTATTTTACATTTCAATTCCATTTTGTGTAGGAATGTTGTAAACTTTAGGAAGTCGGACCAAATAATGAATCAAGAAAAACATAGATCAGCGCTAATATTCTGTGTGTACAGAAAATGTGTGCACATTCAGCAATAGTGATAGCATGACAGTATGCTATTCTGACCACAGATCTCCTTCAGATCACACATTTGTGAGCCATCTCACCTGATTCAGTAATTAGCCTACTCATTCATTCATGAACACAGCACCAGTTATACAATTATGTAGTTATACAATATGCAGGCCTGCAGTGAGATCAGATATGTTCTAATCAAAGTGAATAGACTGTAGGCTACATTTTATTCCAGGGGTGCCCACACTCGGTCCTGGAGGGCCGGTGTCCTGCAGAGTTTAGCTCCAACCCTAATCAAACACACCTGAAGCAGCTAATCAAGATCTTACTAGGCATACTAGAAACTTCCAAGCAGGTGTGTTGAGGCAAGCTGGAGCTAAACTCTGCAGGACACCGGCCCTCCAGGACCGAGTTTGGGCACCCCTGTTTTATTCCATAAACCGGTGTATCATATAGCATTAAAAACCAGTCAAATAAACACCTGAGGTGTTAAAGAAGTGTTCTGTCATGTGCTTCTACATTTCAGGTTTCCTAAAAGCAGGGACCGACAAACCTTTATAACCCACTTCTCTACCTATTCCTCTCACAAAATACTGTTTCTCAGGTTTTATGCTAAAATCGGAGTTTGTAAATCAACTTGCAGCTGCATGTCCACCCTGTTCGTACCAAACCATGGACTTTGTTTTGAAATGTGTGGGGAAAGTTATTTGAATCAAGCGTAGGTTTAAGGCCAAAGTTGACCCACCCACGAGGAACAAAGCATGGATGGTTTGCTTTCTACGTGCTGCGCGCGCATACAATACAAGCGTAGATCTCGTGACAGCGAAGGCTTTGATTTTTCCAGACGATTACAACGCGGCTAATTTTTTTCTGGTTGTATTAAGTGTCTGGAGTTCGTTGCCTAGCAGCCTGAAAATGTCTCCTGATTGGTTGATAGCTCGCACTCTCTCCAGCGCGTTAAAACGCTTGTGAAATGTGCGCGAGCGCAGCTTCAGAACTGTTCCGAACTCAGACAGAGGATCAACATCTTCTGAAGGGGGAACAGAGTGAAGAGACAGATGGATCCAGCTCACCTCACACACGAGCTTTCAGTGTAGGCTTATAGGTTGAAGGTGGGTGTCCACTTATTCTTGTATGATTCTTTATGTTTTGTATTTTTAGATATTCAGTTGATATTTAAAAGGCTGCATAAGTTTAAAAGGTATTTAAATGCAGGCCATTTGAGTATTCATTTATTTCATATGAATATGATTTCCTATTTAGAATCTTGTAGACAGCAGTTTAACTGTGCACTAAATACCTTGTAAAATAACTGACAAACAGGGAATGAAAATAATGCACAGGCATTATCAGATTGAGAAATAGACATTATCTGAATTTTATAAAATATTAATTTGTTGTTACTTCTCTGGATCTACACAAACCTCTCCTTTATATTCCCCACTGAATGTTTAACATTGAACTAGATTTTGTTTCTAAATAAAAGCTTCTCCGTATAATTTAAGTAGAGCTAAAATTCTGATATTATTATTTTTTAGAATGCTTTTACTGATATGCATTGTATGTTCATATCAGAGTAGACAATGTTTTCCTTTCAATTGCAATCAATTATCTAAATGTTTTTATGTTGTCGATAATGTAAAATATATATATATATATATATATATATATATATATATTCTAGTCAGAAATATAATCTGTGACTGGACTGACTTGAGTATATTGGGTTCACTATTTACAGTACATTGAAAGTGGGTTGCTTTAGTGAATAAAAATAAAATCTCTTCTGAAAGGTATTGTTCTCACATTGTGCTCAGATCTCTTTAGTGTGATCCCATGGGACCTTGTTAAAAATGCAGGTTTTAAAATGACCATGGTGACAATATTGTAGAGGAGCTTACCAAAGAGAATTAATGATTACAAGAATAGTACCATTAGTTCAATTAATTAGACAGGCCAGCTAAAATATTTAAATCTCAACGCAGCTTTGAAGAAGTAGGACACTGCCAAAGGCTTCTTCTCCCTCCCACCGTGTCTGATGTCTGCCAGTCATGGCGTAAAAGAGAGAAAAAAACATTTTCATTAAGGGAATTTGCTCATTCAATACACAGAGCTTTCAATAAGTTGGTATTACACTTAGCCTATGTATACACAGACTATCCGAACTGTCTTTTTATATCTATAAAAATGCTTATGTGAGAATCGTAAGGCAGATGAAGTATTGTAATGTGTGATATTTACTGGATAAAACACACTATAGGGCTTCAAACTACACTTAAACCTGTGTTAACGTCTTTTTAAACCTAGACTAAAAGTCCGTTTTAACCCTGAGTTATGAAACTTTCAAGGTGTCAAAGTGAAACAATGTGTTGCATGCACGTTACAGCAAGTTTTTTTTGCAGCAGACAACCACCTATCTCAGTGCTTACATCATTAAATATTCATATGCTTTGTACATTTGCAGAAACTTGCAAAGCTGAAAGTTCTAGCATCTAAATAAAGCAGTAAAAATCATCAACGCAAAAGCATTAACTGGAGTGATGGGGAGGCACTATTATTTTTTGCTGCATGTTTCTGAAGATTTAAAGGGAAAGTCCACCAAAAAAAATAACATTTCTGTCATCATTTGCTCACCATCATGTCATTCCAAACCTGTATGGCTTTCTTTCTTCTGTGGAACACAAAAGAAGAACTTTTAAAGAATGTTTCAACTGTTTTTGTACATACAATGAAAGTCAGTAGGGTCCAAAACAACATTGAACCCCACT